AAAAAAAAACACTGTGAAATTCATGCATAGTTCTTTCAAGTATTTTCCATGAATTTTTTGAAGACCCTTCTGATACGGGGGACCTACGTAGGAAGTTACTTAAGAATAAACGAAGTTGGAAGAACTTCTAAAAATAACATCTGTGTAGTCCTGCACTGTAACCACACCCCTTACCAGTCAACCCAGTGCGCCCATTTCCTATAACGCACCTGAGACACATCTTGGACCGAGAAGGAGATGCCATGACAGTCCCATGGAAGTTAAGCCTCACTGGTGCCATGCAACTCCCAGAAGGCCTCACGGACATGAAACTGTACCCTGCGGTGTCCACCCTGCTTGTCTAAAAGGAGCTGATACAGGGAGCGGCAGATCTTGCTTCTTCTGGATCCTGCTGTAGCCCTCTCCCTCGTTCTACCCTCACAGGCAACTCTGTGCCCACCCATAACGGGTATTCCTTTTTTCTTTTTTTTTTTTTTTACAGGCACAATTAGAGAGAAAGGTCTTCCTTCCATTGGTTCACCCCCAAATGGCCGCTACGGCTGGCGCTGCGCCGTTCCGAAACCAGGAGCCAGGTGCTTCCTCCTGGTCTCCCACGCGGGTGCAGGGCCCAAGCACTTGGGCCATCCTCCACTGCACTCCCGGGCCACAGCAGAGAGCTGGCCTGGAAGAGGAGCAACCGGGACAGAATCGGCACCCCAACCAGGACTAGAACTCGGAGTGCTGATGCCGCAGGCAGAGGATTAGCCTAGTGAGCCACGGCACCAGCCAACACAACAGGTATCTCTTGGGGAGCTGCCCACACTCATGTGCAAATGTGTGTTCACTCTCTCACCTTTAACCACATCCTGCTCTTGCGTCTGCACTGTATTAATCCTCCGCTTTCAATTCCTATCTGTGGAGGCGAGATCGTGGCATAAAAATTGAGGCATGCGTGCTCATACCATTTCCATATATGATTTCATTTTTTGCACCAAAACACGCTGATCTTTCAGGTCCACCTTTCGTTCCATGAGCTGTCTGAAGTCCCTCACACGCATGAGGCTGGGTGATGTTTGACAGGTCCCCGTGTCTCCTCTTGGCGTACTGGGTGCAGTGTTTCCTGGGAGTGCCTGTGCAGGAAGTGTTGAATTGTTGGGTGGTCCCGGCCTGTCTACTCCTGTCCTGGAATGGTGGGAACCTTCCCCGTGGGAAACGCATGGTCAGAAAGCTTGGAAGGCAGACAGCACAGACCCCAGCGGTTTTCCGCTTTCACACTGTGGAACATGTCAGGCAGCAAGGACACACGAGAGCACCACCCCTCACAGCAAAGCAAAGCCAACTCTCCTGTTTGCTGAGGACCTAGCGAAGGATCCCAGCCACTACTCGTTATTATAGTTTTGATGATTTGGGTCTTTACCATAGATCCTTTCTGGTAGCATTCCCAGGGGAGATGTTCATTACACGACAGCAGTGAGGGCTAGCGAAGGGGAAGAGAAGCCAATGGTACTTCTGCATTATTTATTTTTATTTTTATTTTTATTTTTTTTGACAGGCAGAGTGGACAGTGAGAGAGAGAGACAGAGAGAAAGGTCTTCCTTTGCCGTTGGTTCACCCTCCAATGGCCGCCGCGGCTGGCGCGCTGCGGCCGGCGCACCGCGCTGATCCGATGGCAGGAGCCAGGAGCCAGGTGCTTTTCCTGGTCTCCCATGGGGTGCAGGGCCCAAGCACCTGGGCCATCCTCCACTGCACTCCCTGGCCACAGCAGAGGGCTGGCCTGGAAGAGGGGCAACCGGGACAGAATCCAGCGCCCCGACCGGGACTAGAACCCGGTGTGCCGGCGCCGCTAGGCGGAGGATTAGCCTATTGAGCCGCGGCACCGGCCTCTAACAACATCTTAACAAACACACACAGGCAGGTGTCTGCTGCTGCGCGAATTAGGACGCAGCTTGGGACATCCGACCACAGCGCCGGAGTCCCCGGCTCAGCTCTGCTCCCAACGCCAGCTTCTTGCGCACGAGCACCCTGGGAAGCTACAGGTAACCGCTGGAGTAGCTGGGCCCCTGCCAGCCTCACTGGAGACCCCTAGGGAGCTCCTGGCTCCTGACTTCAGCTTGGCCCAGTCCTGGCTGTTGAGAGCGTCCAGGGACTGAACCAGTGGGTGGGTGATCTCCGTCTCCCCTTCTCTGCGTCTCTCAACTTTCCAAATAAATAAACATTTTTAAAAAGAATTGAAAAAGAAAAACATTCACATCCTTTGAAAAGTCACCACAGAGGTAACCAGCCAAAAATGTTTTAAATCGTAAGGAATTTGAACCCGGCCGAGAGTCTAAGACAGTTCACTAATTACTATGCAGTTTATTTATGGTTTTAATTGTTTTTCCCTATGTCTCAAGGGACATATTTCTTCCAGAAGCACAGTTGCTGAAGCAAATATTTATTTTTATTGTTTCACAAGAAGGAAGTGGAAGTACCCAAGCAGCTACTATATTTCTTAGAAATCAACCGTGAGGGAACTGTCATTATTTTATACCTTAGCCCCCGAGCTATGCCTCAGGGTCGGTATTTCTTTTTCTTTTTTTTTTTTTTAAACTCAATAGAAAATATCTGTTGCCCCGAAACAAAGGTTTAAAAGCTCTAGACCTGCTTCCTTCCAACCGACAAACCATCTGCTTTCTTCCTCCCTTTCAGAACACGACCTAAAAATCTTTGAACATTAGTTATTAAAGCAAAAACACACTTCGTTCGTGCCCCTGAATGAATATGCCTATTTAAACATGACATTGCCTCCTTTCAAAATAATACATCCTCACTGTGGAACACATGGAACACTCAAGAAAATATCAGGAAAAAAAAAAACCACAACCTCACCAACCAGAGATAAGCATTTAAAATATTTTGGAAACTGTCTGCCATTGAAAGAATATAATTCCTTATTGTAAATATAATGTTCTATCTCTTAATAAAAAATTCTGTTTCTCAACCAAAAATTTTGTTACTATTATCCCTCTAGATTATACATCTCCAGTAGAATTTGGAAAAGTATTTGGTAATGAACTTGCTATGTATGCTTTAAAACCCGTGTTATAAATGCCAGGTCCTGGGGCTGGTGCCATGGCGCACTAGGTTAATCCTCCGCCTGCGGCGCTGGCATCCCATATGGGCGCCGGTTCGTGTCCTGGCTGCTCCTCTTCCAGTGTGGCTCTCTGCTGCGGCCTGGGAAAGCTGTAGAAGATGGTCCAAGTGCTTGGGCCCCTGCACCCACATGGGAGACCAGGAGGAAGCTCCTAGCTCCTGGCTTCGGACCGGCGCAGCTCCAGCCATTGCGGCCATTTGGGGAGTGAACCAATGGAAGGAAAACCTCTCTCTCTGTCTCTCTCTCTCACTGTCTGTAACTCTACCTGTCAAATAAAAAATAAAAAAATCTTTTAAAAAATAAATAAATGCCAAGGGGCCGGCGCCTAATCCTTTGCCTGCGACACTAGCATCCCATATGGGTGCCAGGTTCTAGTCCCAATTGCTCCTCTTCCAGTCCAGCTCTGCTGTGGCCCGGGAAGGCAGTGGAGGATGGCCCAAGTGCTTGGGCCCTGCACCCCATGGTAGACCAGGAGGAGCACCTGGCTCCTGGCTTTGGATTGGCGCAGCACCAGCTGTTGCAGCCATTTGGGGCGTGAACCAACGGAAGGAAGACCTTTCTCTCTGTCTCTCTCTCTCTCAGTGTCTATAACTCTACCCGCTAAATTAAATAAATACATACATACATGCCAGGTCCTGAAGTCTCAAGGAGTTTGATTAGATGATGATAAGCTGTGCAGAACATGACAGAGTTCTCATAGGCACTGCAGCGTGCACAGTGTGGTTGGTGATGCGTATTTTAAGCATGTCCCAAAGTGAACGAGTCTCATAAAGTTCCACTGACAGTGTGCCACTGGGGACAGGTGTTCGGCAGAATTAAAGTCACCACCCGGGACACCGGCCTCCCCTACGTGGGGCCTGGCTGGAGTCCCAGCTCCACTCCCGACTGCAGCTTCCCGCTAACGTGCACAAGGGAAGCAGCAGGCGGTGACTCAAGTACTCGGGGCCCTGCCACCCACCTGGGGAATCTGGATGGAATTCCTGGCTCCTGGCTTTGGTCTGGCCCAGCCCTAGCTTTTGTGTGCATTTAGGAAGTGAACCAGCAGGTGAGAGATCTCTGTATCTGTGTCTCTGCCCTTCCAATAAATAAAAATAAATAGAATTCAACAAACAAATGACAAACAAGGGTGTGTTGTTCTGTGCAGGCCTGGGGACCCCCAGAGAGGCTCCCGTGAGTCTCCCAGGACGCTTCAAAGGAGACGGATCCGATCGCCTCGCTCCGCCTCCCACCCTGGGGGATCCCGGGCAGCGTGTGGTCATCGGGCCCGCACATGCTGGAGGGCAAACACGTTTACTACCTGGGAACTCCTAGTGCAAACCCTCTCCAAAGTCAGAGCTGCAGTTCAAGAGGCCCACAGCTCACGGCTGGTCACACAACCCAAGTTCTCTCTTTCCCGAAGGTCACACCTAAGGACACGTGTGCAAGGAGGGACATGAGAAGGCCAGGGAATGCACACGCAGGCTCACGGCAGCTGCGACATTTCTCCTCTATACACACCTGATTCACACGCGTCCATGCACATGTGGGAGGCCTAGAGCGCCCCCTACAGAGAGCATGAAGAATTCACTGCGACAAACCCCTGGAGAACTTACCAGAGTGTTTGTGACAATGAATTCCTGTTTGTGCCTGGTGCTCCACCTCACGCCACGTCACTGCCTAACCTGTGGCCGTAAAATCTGTCACAGGAGAACACCGGGAGTTGGCAGCATCGTGGTGGCACTGCACTGCAGCAGAATCGAGCACTGAGCCACAGTGGACCACGTCCATGGATGAGCTCACACACCGAGCACCAGGAGAGGCCACCAGGCCGTCTCTGCGCCCAGGGAGGGAAGAGTGACGTCAGTACGGGCCTGAGTGCACACAGCCAGCGCCCCTTGCAGTAGCTTACTTGAGGGCGGTCCTGTAGTGGTATATGGCTTCCTTGTTCCGACCTTGGTCCTTCAGGAAGTTGGCATAGTTGTAGTGCACCTTGGCGTTGTGCGGCAGAGTCTCAACTCCAGACCTACAATGGAGACAGAAAAGGAATTCGTCAGATTCCTGCTTGTTGTACTCACAGCTTTCACCAAGCTGCACCCGCAACGTCCACTGCATCCCTCTAGAACAAGGCTTCCAGAATTGTGCCATCTGATGGACGCTTCGTTAACTGCACAGACACACCAGCTGCGCACATGAACAAAGTGTCCTCCGCAGGTGACCCCAGGGCCTCCTGACCTGCCACACGCGTGAAGCTGAGCCTTCCCCACAGGGGCACAGCAGGGTCCAGCCACAGACCCGAGGGCTCACGGCGCCACCAGCACCACAAGGCCAGCCTCGCTCTCCTAATTCGGGAGGCGGAAGGCAGAAGTGTGAGGACCCTGGGTCTGCTGCCCAGATCCCGAAGAGGACGATCTGTGGCCCTCACCCTGCTAGGGGTCAGCACGGGAGGATCAGGCAAACCCTTCCTTCCTTTCATGTCTCTCTCAGGGGCTAGGGCCCCACTCACACGGCACTGATGAAACACCCCAAGCAACCCCCGTGTCCACGGCAAAGATAAAAGAACGAGAAGATCAAATGCATTCACATAATGACAACAGCCAATGACACAACCTCTTTTTTTTTTTAAGACTTATTTATTTGTTTCAGAGGCAACGAGTTACAGAACCAGAGAGAGGGAGAAACAGAGAGAAAGGTCTTCCATCCACTGGTTCACTCCCCCAGTGGTTGCAGTGGTTGGAGCTGAGATGATCCAAAGCCTGGAGCCTGGAATTTCTTTTGGGTGTCCTATAAGGGTGTAGGGACCCAAGTATTTGAGCCATCCTCCACTGCTTTCCCAGGCTATTAGCAGAGAGCTGGATCAGAAGTGGAACAGTTGGGACTTGAACCAGCACCCATATGGGATGCCGGCACTGCAGGAGGACGCTTAACCTACTATGCTACAGCGCCAGCCCCACAACCTTCTGTTTAAAACATGAGGAGGGTGGAACATGTGGTGCCTTTCCTCTGCCTGCTCTCCCCGTTCCTTTGTCTTTGTTTCAGTGTGGAACCCACGTCATGCGTGAGGCTCTCTCCCACCCCCCACCCCCAGCATACATAGTCCTGCTGCCTCCTTGTGTGTGTGTGCACAGTGCCCAGGGAGTCTCACTGCAGGGAAGACACCTCCCAGACCCGGTGCTGGGCAGGCAGATCCTGACTCAACAGTGAGAGAAGCAAAGTCAGGCTTGTCTGAGACCATCGTCACGGGCTGGCACGCGAGCAGCCTGGCGGGAAGGGAAGGCAAGAGGTGGTCCAGGCAGCATCACACGAAAGGGAGAAGATCCAGGAGCGGAGATGGCAGAGCAGGTGTATGGCATTTCGCCCAGCTGAGCCGACGGCACAGCTGTCCAGTACCTCCAGCGAGCCCCTTCGGAGCTGCGCTGGGGCCAGATTCACCACGTTCTGGGAAATCAGAGGAGTGAGGAAACTCGGGCGATGGACAGACAGCGGATGGCAGCAGGAGAGCGCGGTGTCAGGAGGGCAGGGTGTGTTTCTCCCAGGACGGCAGTCAGGAAGCTTCTCAGAAGGCAGCGACTGCAAACGGGAGGCTTTTACGATCCAGACAAATCAAATTATCCTCGCGGGGGAGGGCAACTTCCCGCCCACAGGCTTTATGAAGCCCAAGAAATCATTCGGTCCAGCCCTGCCAAGGCCACCGCAGGCGGGACTCGAAATTCGCTATTTCTACAGCAGGCTTATTTTAAGTTGCTAATTTTGTATAGCCCATGAATGATGGCATAAATGCCCAAACGGCCCTTGGCAGCACAAAGGTCCCCTACCCACCCCTGCGAGAGACGCAGTGGGACGTCCTAAGCAGACGACGGGCGTTGGTGCTGCTGCCACGCCACAGTTGCTGCCAGTCTGAGTGAAGACCCTAACGGGCCTGTGATCACACTGCAGACCTGGGGTTTTATCTCCAGTGGGGGATCAGGGGCCCATCCGCGGGCATGGGGTGGACCTGGAGGATTCAGGAGACACTGAGGAGGCAGAGGTGGTGAGTGGCAGGACACATGGATACGGATTCTCTGGAGGACAAGCCTACACGCCGAGCTGAAGCCAGTCCTTGCAGGTTCTGGGGAGGACCCTCTCCCTGGCTTGCAGGTGGTCACCTTCCAGTTATGTCCTCACCTGACCTCTCCTCGGGGCACGCATAGGAGCCCTACGGGATTGGGGCCCCACCCTATACCCTCACTGAACCTTTATCACTCTCTCACAGGCCTAGCTTCAAATACGGTCACATGGGAAGTTACAGTATCAACACAAAGAGTTTTGGGTGGACATAAAGTATTCACTCCACAACATTCTACTCCGCCCCCCCAAATGTATGTCCTTATTATATGCAAATGCATCCATTCCATTCCTATAGCCCCCAAATCCTTAACTCACACAGCATCAACTCTAAATTCTGAAGTCCAAAGTCTAAGTACTAAGTGAATCAGAGAGGGGTGAGATTCAAGCTATGATTCATTCCTAGCAAAATTCTTCTCCGGCCTTGAACCTATGAAGCCCATCAAGCTACGTGCTTCCAACACGCAGTGGTGCTGCATGGATAGGACAGACCCTCCCACTCCAAAGAGCAAAGTCTGAAAGACAAAAGGGGTGACAGGTGCCAACAAAGTACCAAATTCAGCAAGGCGAACTCCGTGAGATGGACAGGCTGCAGAACACTTCTTGGTTCAGTGTTCCACCGCGCATGGCCACTGGTGGCAGTGTCAGCTCCATGACTCTGCAGGTGGGCTCTCCACAAGGGGCTGTGCATGTGGGGCTTGTTTTGAGGGGGGGACCCCCAGGCCCCCAAATCAATCTGGAAGTCATTCTTCCCTTTTCTTGAAGACTAATCCAGCTCCATGCCCTCTTTCCCTCTGCCCTGTTATTGCTGCTTCTTTGGGCCTAGCTGGCAGGGACGGTGCTGCTATGGTCTCATATGGATTCCCGGCTTCTGCTGAAATGGATGAGTTGAGTCCTGGTTTACACGCACAGGATTCTCTACCCAGCGCTTGTTCAGCCACAGCCATCTGTGATGTTCTCTTTAGAACCAGCGTCCTCATTTTGTGCAGCACGATCATGTGAATACTGTCCACATCTCCAGTACATTTAATATAGTGGATTTCAAAATCCTCAACTTGAGGTTACTTCCTGCTTAGCAGTTCCTTCAGTGCGTCTCTGACTTCCTGCATTTTACTCTAAGCAGTAACAGGGAGTCAAGCTGCACCTGCTACACTTTGGTCAGAAATCTCCTCTGCTAAATTTCAATTTCATCACTCATAAATTCAACCTGTTATTCTAAATATTAGAATATGAACACAATTCAGCCAAGATCTTTGTTTATTTTTTCTTAAGCAAGGATTATCTTTCCTGTAGTTTCCAAAACCATGTTACTCATTTCTGCCTGAGACCTATCTCTACCACAATTCTGTTCGTGAGAATCTATTCTCTAAGAAATCAGTCTTTCTCTGTAGCTTTTTATTTCCTAAGCCCTCGTCAGAATAACCTTTAACTTCCACATTGCCAGCACATTCCTCAGAACTCTTCCACTTCCAACCACTAACTTATTCCCAAGCTTTCCCAAGCTGCTTTCACACTGTCTGTCTGCTTGCTTGTTATGCACTTCACTTCTCAGTACCCAGACCTGAATTAGTCTCCTCAGGCTGCCAGGACCAAACAGCAGAGGCTGGGTGGGCAAAGCTGCAGACACCTAGCCTCGCCCCTCCCTGGGGACTGGGACATCCAAGAGCAGCCAGCACCACCGGTGTCTAGTGAGGTCCCTCAGGGCATGTGCAGAAGACAGCCAGCGAGCTCTGGTGTGTGTTCCTCTTTTTATATGGGTCCCCAACCCTAGAACCTTGTTTAACCTTTACCACTTCCTCCTAGGTCTAAGCCCAGCTGGAGTCCAACTGGACGCCAGGGCTTCCCTATCTCCGTTCTGGGGCACATGGACATTCAGTCTATTGCTGACTCATGGACATTCAGTTCGTAGCAATCAGCAAAGTCCAAGCACTTACCGCCAAGGGAGTGCAGAACGCACCCCCCCCCCCCCATTGGTCTCAAGAGGTAAGGCCGGTGGATTCCACCGAGCGGCTGCACCTAAGGCTTGTACGTCCCATCCCATGCCTGTTTACAATGTGACGGAGTTTCTAAGGAACCCAATAAAGGGCAACACCAAGGCCTTGAAGAGGATCTGAGGCAGGAGCGGGGCAGGAGGGGTCACTCTGTCACTTGCGGCTGCCTCACCAACGTGACCTGTCCAAGATCACTCAGCCAGCAGGTGGCAGCCCCAGGGAGCTTGGCTCTACAACGTCTACTTCCTCACCAGAAAGTAGAAGTGGGTAGTGCTCGGGTGGGCAGAGACTATGAAAAACAGATGCACAGGGCTGAAGGACACTCCACAGGAAAACCCCTGGAACCGATGGTGACAAAGAGAGAGGAAGGACCTCACAATGGAAATCGGGTTTCTCGGCAACTGTATTTTGTAATACCACCTAAGACCATGCTTGCACTTAATTTCTCTTTTTAAGGTAATATTAATATTAATAGCGGAATTCCACACAAAGTGTTAAAACTACAGATTGGTGCTGTGGCACAGTGGATAAAGCTGCCACCTGCAGTGCTGCCATCCCATGTGGGTGCTGGTTCCAGTCCCAGCTGCCCCACCTCCAGTCTAGCTCCCTGCTAATGTGCCTGTGAAGGCAGAAGATGGCCCAAGTCCCTGGGGCCCTGCACCCACGTGAGAGAGCCAGAAGTAGCTCCTGGCTCTAGCTGCTGTGGCCGTTTAGAGACTGAACCAGCGTTTGAGGCCGGCGCCATGGCTCACTAGGCTAATCCTCCGCCTGCGGCTCCGGCACACCGGGTTCTAGTCCCGGTCAGGGCACCGGATTCTGTCCCGGTTGCCCCTCTTCCAGGCAAGCTCTCTGCTGTGGCCAGGGAGTGCAGTGGAGGATGGCCCAAGTGCTTGGGCCCTGCACCCGCATGGGAGACCAGGATAAGCACCTG